ATTTCTCTATCCTTTTCTTAAATATTTTTTCAGATAAACAACATATCTTTCTCCCACTTGCAATCACATTGATGAGCTTCACTTGTCAAAGCTGGAGCTCAAGGTAAGCTGTGGGGCACAGAAGGAGGAAAAATGGAAGAAAAGCCTTCAGGGAAAAAAAAGGAAAGAGATAAGCAATAGGATTTCAGTCAAGAACTGGGGCTGATTTGGGTTTTCATGGTAATGGATTTGTTTGAAGAGAATATATTTAATCTATAGATCCAACCTGGGATTACGTGGGAAGGTCACTCAACTCCGCTCGTCCTCCCAGTCTCTCATTTCTGCTTGACATCAGCAAAGCCTGAATTTTAATATTTGTTATATTTAGGGCAGATGATCCACCCGGTCAGAATCGAGGATTAGGAATTCATTTTGTAAAGCATTACATGAAAACATGACAAAATTTGACCCTGGCTCCAACTCTCTTAGTCCACTTGAGTCTAATTGTAAAAGCAGGATCAAAATCTAAAGAAGCAAATGTAATTGGTGCTAGTAGATGTTTTTGCTTTTGCCTTTTCCCTTGCCCAAGAGCTTCTGTACGCAGAAGCACTGAGGTAATAGAGGGCTGCTTTGTGCATTCTGATAGTTTGTACACAACAAGATGTCAGAAGCAATGAGAACGACCCCAGCTGTTGTCTGCTAGAAACCTTTTAAACAGAAAAAGGACAGAAAGTTATTCAATAATCACAAGGAAGGAAGAGCACATGGCTTGAAGTGACTGGCTAGTAATCAATTCCTGCTGTGAGCATTTTTGTCCTGACCATATGATACGTGAAGAAAAATGAGAAGCATGCATAAGGAAATCAGCATAGCTTCTTAAGTGGAAAAACAGAAAGTTTACTCAAAGATAAATAACATAGTCAGCATGACATGAAATCCCATTGTTTTAATATAATATCTACTTTAAATGTATCAACCTTTTAAAACAATTAAGAACGTGGGAATAATCACTTTTCCTTTCACTGCAGTGCTTTTTGTGTGTATTTTGAAAACGATTCTTATCTGGTTTGCTTCTACAGCTCCAACTTAAAGGTCATCATGTTCGATCAAGATATCGCCTCGTGGCAGCTTTGGTATTCTCAGCAGTGCTTGGGAACAGTGGCTGATCTTTCATCACAAACTGTAAAGGAAGTGGTGCGTATACATCATCCAGAAATAATGGATATTCCTTTTGAATTTTAATTTAGAACTAATTAGCTGATTTTTTTTTTTTCCACGTTTGTATTTAGAACGCAAGGAATGGCTTTGGCCTTTGGAATAGATTTTGTCACTGAGTTTCAGGAAGTGAAAACCTCTCTAACCCTCAGAAAAAGAGGCTGCATGAGCACAAGCACTTCAAAAAATGAAGTTGTGATTGTAAAATTCAGTGACAGAGAGAATGACAATAGGCTGGAATATCTCCAGAACGCTGAAAAGCCCACTGACAGTTGCGTGGATGAGAAGGCGATGAGATTCATCCCACAGAAATCAAAGAATACTGAAACGTTAGGGATGTGGAAACAAATCACCCTGAGAGGGGAGGGGGGCAGCACTTGTTGTTCTGGGTGGCTGTTCCACTGGCTGACCCGTGGCATGCACTGTGCAGTACTTCAGGAAAACACTGGCATGGGGTCATCTGTTGAAATATTAACAGAATTTGTCAGCAGTGTTTCCAGTTGTGAAACTTGTTTGTTTTTTTTCCCTTCCTTTCATTCCCTTGTGGCAGCATTATCTCTGCTTATAGCCAGTCCTTTCCTTCCTGTATCAACAGCACTGTGTCTGCAGAAGGAGCAGGGCTGGGAAGGTGGAGATGACAGTGTCCATGGGCATACTGCATTTCTCTTAGCTTCAAAGAGGCAAAGTGGGGAGTAAATCCTTCACAGCACTGAGACAGTTATGAAAGTAATCCTACGGAGAGTCTGCCATCGTTACAGATCCCCTTTGGTCCTAACCTTTGAAGAATAGATGGAGGTGCTGAGCAGAGACTCTGAAAATCTTGATTCAGTTCCCAGTGCCACCAAAGGCTCTGTGATTTATGGGGCAAAAAATCTCAGCCTCTCTCAATTGAGTTCCCCACGCACAACCACACAGAACTCTTTGTTGTGGGAGTGATGCTATTTGTTTATCTTACAGGAGACTGGCCCTCGATTGAGTCCCTGGATGACAGCAGTGTGAAATGAGCTGACCAGCTCCTTTCTCAGGAGCTTGCTCCAAAACAGCACAAACACTGTGCTCAGTGTCCTTGCTCTCAAGTCGTTTTGAACATTTTACTTTTTATCAAAGGGTGTTTTTTTCTTTGAGATGAAGCAATCTGTTCAATATTTAATAGTATTTTATAATCCCCCGTTTTCTCCCTAGAAAAAGCCCTTAATATGAGTCATAATATAAACATAATTTGTAAATGAAATGTAGGCCTGGATCAATACCCTTCTCCTTGCTGCAGGGTAGCATAATCACTGAAAGATGTTCTCCTAATTGTTATGAGGACAGGGAATTGTTTCATTTATGTAAGTGAAATGTGGTGTTGTCTGACGATGGGAGTTGACTCTGAGGTTTCTGTACTTGTGGCAAAATGTCAATATTCCTAAAGCATCTTGCAGTCAGCAGTTTCAGAGGACAGGTTATTTGCAAAATAGCCTCCCCATTATAATCCAGTGACACACAAATCTGCTCCCTAGGTTCCAGCACTGGCCTTTCCAAATCCAAAGCTAAATGGATTCTGCTCCAAGAGCTGAATTGTCACTGAAACTGCTGTGCTTCAGACAGATTTGCTGTTACTGAGAAAATAGGGCTCCTACATCTTTCTAGTAAATAATTTCTCAGTGCATGGTAATACGGTAATATTGCAGTGCTGTAACTTTTGGATAGTCCAATAGACATGTAATCTTAGTTAGTGGAAACCCAGATGCTCACAGACTTACTTGGGCAGAACAGTAATTTGCTGTAAAAACAGCCCCCAAAATTCAAGAGGAGAGTGTATGCAGGTATTGTTTAGTATGTGTAAATGTATTCAGATTTCATTAGCTAATACCAGTGCCTTCAGCAAAGTTACTTCTTGATTTCTACTACAGAAAAACTTAGGCCTTTTTCCAGTGGGCAGTATGATTTTTCTCTGAGTAATAGTAAAACATGAAAATTACCTTTAAGCATACACTTGAGGTCTTATCCCATCATCACGAAGTCCTGCATGTTCAAGGGATGCTATTCACAATCACTGAGTTCTCCAAGTATTCATACTTGCAGTGAGCCCCTCGGCACGTATAGAACCTCACTCGTCCTCTTTGTGAACTGTTGGTCAATTTTTGCCTTGGATCATTTCTGGTAGGCAAGAAAACCAAGTAAAGTAGGTATGTTCCATAGGAAAACCACACTTGCTTAGATTGTGCTTCCCAGTTCCCATTTCCCCCAGCACAGTGGAAATCATTTGTCCAGCTCATGCTCTCACCAGCTTACTTTTGATCTTCCATAATTGCTTTTTCAGGGGCAGTGACAAGCACTTACCTCAGCAGGTGAAGATTACCCTTCCCTCTGTTGTTTCCCTTACACTCAATACAGGAGCTGCTAACCTGAGTTACTTTCCTAGAGCATCACTATTATACTGCACAACAAAGATGTCTTGTTAAAGCGTTATCACAAGAACCATCCTTGCCATACTTGGCCTGGTCTCTTGTAGCAGAGAGGCTTTTCAACACATATCTGCAAATCATCTCCAGCAGGACCTTTCCCTGACCTGTGACAAGCAAGTGTGCATCTTGCCTATTGCATACTGAGACTTGCAGTTGCCTGAGGTGTGATGCTGCGGGGTCACCTTGGCTTATCAAGGTCACTCCCCTGGCATTTTGCTTTCTGATAAGCAAGGCCACAGCCTTGGACAGCAGCCCCGCAATCTGTACTTGCGCTGTGTGGATTCAGACCTGTGTGCATACTCAGCTCTCACCCAGATCAAATAGCCTGTGATGAATTCCACTGTAAGAGCAGTAAAAAGAAGCAGTGTGCATTGGGTTTGGAGGAGCAGAGGAAGTAAATCTAGAGAGCGCTTGAAACAGCCTGTTAAGAAAATGCAGTGTAATGCACAGCTCCTGGTCCTCATCCACAAAGAGAACTCTGCAGGCAAAAGGCACCTAAGCAGGTCAGGTGCCAATGGATGCTCTGCTCCCTGTATTCAATTAGCCAGATGCAGCAAAATAATGAACTCTATTCATCGAGTGCAAGTCTCTCTTATCGCCTGTTTGATTTGGTGTCATAGAATCACCATAGATAAAGAAGGTGCAAATAGTACCTCATTGTACCAAAACCTCAAAATAACATGCTACTAATGAAGGCAGTGTTAGTCATATAAACATTCAAACCCACTGAAGCAGTGATGGAGCACCTGGTGGGAAGGCAGGGCCAGCCCAGGGAGCTCAGGTGCATGCAATGCAATGCAGCTGTGTGACCAGAAGGGTGGGACCAGGATCCCCCCCTTCCCAGCGCTCATTTAAGGGCTGGCAGTGGAGGTAAGAGGATCTCACTGGAGATCTCTGCATACCTGAGGCTTTCTGAAGGTAAGCAGCTTCTTTCCTTTATTTCTGTGCCCACAGCTGTTGCGTTTAAGCAAACCTTCACTTGCTGCAGCCTAGGACTTTGCTGCCCTGCTGTCATTGCTGTGCATTCCGCTGTCTTACAGTAGATTTTACCCTTATTTGTTAGATCAGACTCACACTTGATTGAACTGTCCTTGGAACTAGATGATCTTTAAGGTCTCTTCCAACTGAAGCTGTTTTATGATTCTGATTTTTGGGACTTAGTTTCTCTGCCGTAACCTCAGAGACAAGCTGTATGGGTATAGTCCTGCACTAGTTTTCATTCAGAAAAAGCAGAACGATTCAGGATTTTTGCAGCCCAGTAAGTTGAAGCAGTTGTAGTTCTCATCACACGGCACTTGCCCAACTTTCCTAAGTGGAGGAATTTCACCAAATACTGCATAGCAAATATTGTGTTGGTTTTTTTTTTTTGCCAAAATACTTGTAAGAAGGAATCAGCAATATTTTGAGGAAGGTGAAAAACAAGTAGGGAAGCTTAGGGTGTGTCCTGAACAAGAAGTTGGCACTGTGCTCTGACAGAGACCTGACCCAGGGAAGCTGTTGTAGGTAAAGGTGCTCCATCACATTACTCAGTATTTTTGTTAGGAATGAGGGTTTTCATGTTACTTTCAGATAAAGAACTACATCAACTATGTCTGACTCTGCCATCGTTTTTGCCTTCTTAGGGAAGCGATCAAGTTTTGCCTAACCTGGAGGGGTGGAAAAAACAACATTATTTAACACCTCAACATATCAATTTCCTGTTTAGTTCGATGGGCTGACTATGATTTACAGGGTTTCATTATGAGACTCAATTAAATATAGAATTTGTAATATTCATGCAGTTTCTATGCCAAATATACACAGTGCTGATACAGCAGGGATCTCAAAATATCAACCACCTGCTTGGGAGGAACAGAATTACGAATGCATCTCCTTAAACAATAATTCATCATACTCAAAGTCTAAAGTTAAGCTACTCCAGAGCCAACACAGCTGCTTTATCTTATTGAAGGGGGTACTGCTGACTTACAGTGCCCGTTATCATTCTTGTAACTCTTGACTAAGAATGCAGGCAATGATTTGGAGGCCTGGGAAGCAGCGCTGAGTGTGGTGTGAAGGATCCTGGCTTCTGGATGGAAACCCAGAATTGTGAACTGCATGTCCACACTGCTCATGCAATGCACCAGGAAACCAAATCAGTCAGGTTAGGAAACTTTAGGGAAAAACTTTGTGTACCTCACTGAGAGCTGCAGGGAAATAATCCGCCCCTCTCCTCAAGGATCTTCATCCTCAAACCCCTCTGCTACATGAAGAAGGTTATAGGAGTGAGATTTCCCTAAGTGAGCTCAGATGCAGTACCAGCTCACAAGTCACAGTGCATCTTTTTCCCTCGGGAGGGATGCTCTACTCAGAAGAATGAAGCTAACTTTAATCCTCATGACTTGGTTATAAGAGGACTTCGATCTGACAAGATGTAGATTTACAATTGTTATTTTTCAGACAGACTACTGCTGTACAAGTGAAACGTGCTGGAAGCAGCTGAGTTTGGAGGACCTCCTTACAGTGTGGGGATATACGTTCATAGAAAAATGAGATTTTTGAATGTGAGTGAGGTTCAGGAGCACTGCAATATGATAGTGGCTTTAAGTCCATTTTTGCTGCAAGGAGGCAGAATCCTGCTGTGCTCCTTTCAGACAGGTGTTAGTCTAATTGGTCCTTTAGAACTTACATTTTACAGCTTCCCTTAGCAGCCAGGTTCACTGATTAAGTATTCTTCATTAGGAAGCTTTGCCAGTCTCTAATTTAAACCTTTACTTCATGTGGAGCCAGGCACTTTGCTTCCCCCTTTGGTGACCAGGACAGTGTTTCAGAAGTACCTTCTCCACAAACGTTTTGAGTGTTAGGACACCATTACCACATCGTTGTGAAGCTCTACGCGTTCTCCACTTCCTTATTCCTCATAAAAATGAAAAATGTTTTCCTTCTTTATAATGCCTGCTGCTCTCCTGGAGTTAGGGGTGCCTCAGCCCTTGCCTTTTCTCACTGACTCAGCTCGTTTCAGGATGGCTGCTCTGTGAAGTGGCCATTGGAAGCTCTCAGTCAGCAGTGGGGCTGTCGTGGTGTTAATGAATCTTGCTAAACAATTTAGACATCCTGCGATAAAAACCACCAGAGGAATTTCAAGCAGTCAGAGTACAAGCAATTCTAACACTGCAAATACAAGCTGTTGAGAAATATCAATATTATCAGTAGTATCCTTGCTTTAAGACATCAGCTATTTATCTCTGGCAGGCTTTGCCTTACTGCTCTTTCCAAGACTGTCTGCTGGGAACACGTTCCTGACCCAGTGCTCTTCCAGCCATGGGATGGATGCGTTGGTGCAGCTCAGAAGGACGTGGGCACCTCTGCCAGCTCACATCTGAACACCACATTGAGCCAAATAGCTCAGGAGTGTTTGTATTAAAGAAAACCCACACTTCTGAGAAGGCTGGGACCGCCCTCTTATCATGAGGAAATAAACCTTAGGGCTTTAACAAATCAGGGCAAGGAAGAGTGTTTGCATCTGAACTAATGTTGCCCGAAGCATAAAAATAAACCTAGGGCTGTTTTCAGACATAACAACAGGCTCAGGATAGTGTGAAAACACAGCAAGAAGACTTAAGAATTTGAGATTACAAGCCAGTTTGCTTATCTCATCCAAAAACATCTTATAATCAGCATTTTCATCTCATCAACCATCTCTTCTTACCTTTTGTTCCCAAACAGTGCTGCAGGCTTGGTTCTGGGATGGCTCTTCAGCATCAGCAATGTCTGCCTTCCCCGTTTGACAGAAGCTCCATTTCAGCGATGCAGAAAATTAATCGGGGCATAATATTTCCTTTGTATCCAGACCTAAATACTGTTTCTATGGCTGCAAACATAGTAATTCATGAATGAATGGAACAAAGTCAGACTCCTTCTGCGTGATTCCTGAAGCTGATAGCAAAATCAACCATGAAGGAGCATCGACAGAAAAGCTGCTTCATTCTAACCTTATTGGGAAAAACTTCTTTGCACCAATTAGAGAGATTACAGTGCTCAGAGTGATGCAGAGAACTAAATGATCAGGCAGATACACTAACTGGATGTCACTTAATCAGACAAGAGGAAGCAGAACCCACAGCGAGTGGAAAAAGCTCCATGGGATGAGCATCAGCTCACGCATTAATTTCCTTTTATTCCTATATTCACATCTTCTGTGGCCTTCCCTCCAGCCTCTGCCCATGACCAGCTCTGGCATGCACGAGTCCCTCCTGTGCTGGGTGGAAGGAGCTCTCGGTGCGTGGCTGTGTGCCCAGGATGCTGCAGTTGTGCATGGGCTCATTGGGCTGCAGCACAGTAGTGAAAATAGTGACATGTTAGGAGGAACAACGTGGGTTCTTGTTTTCAGCTTCACTCACTGCAAATCTCTGCAGGGCATGTCATGGGAAAACTGGCACGTCATTGAAGACACAGAAAGAAAGAATGCCAGAAGAGAGGTGAAAAATAGAAAAGCCTAAGCATCACCTCTGCTCAGATGTAAGACCTTGGAATAATAGCTGTGCTAAGTTTTATAGAAGTCATTAAAAACCCTTTGTGATACTTGAACTCTGCTACTGAAAAATAGTTGTTTCCACCCAGAGCTAATAAATAGATGTTTGAAGCACAAGCTGAGCTAATGCGAATTCATGCTCAACTGTGCGTGTCGTGTTTGGATGTAAACACCCTTTTCACATTGTGCCATACCACCCCAGTGCTGCTGTGCTTTTCATGCATCTCTGTGGTATTTACATCTCAGCTATCATTTGATAGCTTAAAATGCCTGTACTAAAATCCTTTCAATTGAAACTGCCTTTCAATTGGGTTGAAGATGTCAAAGTACATCTGTGTAGTCCAGTTTAAGTTTCATGATTGAACAACTTGCTCTGAAATTGCAGCTTTCTTTCCTAAACAAAGCTAAAAAGATTTTTTCCTGCCTTGTATTGTAGGTAATATTTGAAGAAAGAAAGAAGGAAAAAAATGCCAGACCCAAGCTTTGCTCATCTGGGGATCCTGCGTGGGATGTAATCCAGCCCTGCATCAGGACACACCTTCTGCACTGCAACCAGCACCAGGTAGGGCACGAAAACAAAACGCATACCTGCTCAGAAGTCCACCATGGAGACCCTTCCTGTTCAATATCAAATGTGTACTGAATTCTCCTCCATTCTCCTTACTCGTTGCTTTGTCCTTGTGTGCCTGAAGATGAGGGAACGTATCTCAGCCCATTTCAAACATAGTAGCTGTAGTGATTTCAATAGAGTAATAAGTATTGTTTCTAGCAGAAAGCCTTACCCCAAGTCTTTCCTAACTGTAAGATCATGCTTTCTGCTAAACAGGATCTTCCATAGTGCACACATTAACATAATGCAATATGTTTTCAGTAAGCACACACGATTCAGTAATTCACTTCACTGGTGACAGGGGGAAATGGCCACAAGTTGCACCAGAGTAGGTTTAGGTTGGATATCAGGAAAAACTGCTTTACAGAAAGGGTTGTTAAGCACTGGAATGGGCTCCCCAGGGAGGTGGTTGAGTCACCATCCCTGAATGTGTTTAACAACTGTTTGGATGTGGTGCTCGGGGATGTGATTTAGCAGAGGGTTGTTTAGAGGTAGAGTAGTACGTTGGACTGTAGTTGGATTTGATGATCTTTAAGGTCTTTTCCAACCTGATTCTATGAGCAGCTCCATGGTGACAGGGATGACCACAGTCCCCTAAACCTGTAGAGACAAATAAATATTTTCGCTATGCCTTTATGATCACGTTATTGTATCTTTTTTAAATGTTGCATAATGCCAAATGCCATGCTATGGTAACAGAAACAAGAGAAGTAGCATTCTTAATACTTTGAAAAAATACAAGGTTTTTTTCATAGGGGTGAAAGCTTTCTGTCTAGCAGGAGAATTCTTATTGAACTTGCTTGGGCTTCAGCTCCCATCACATTACCTGTTCATGTGCTCCCCACCATGCCCTGCCCAGCAGTGGGCCTCCCTGCTTTGTGCAAGGGAAGATTAAGCAGAAGGGATGAGAAAAGAGAGGGGGGAAAAACAATGCATTTCTTTGCAGTAAACACAGCCTGCAGCCATCAGTTTCTCTCAGCATTGGATGGCAATTATTTCTGTGTAATAAGCAGTCACCCGATGACCCTCCCCTTCAGCGTGCAACGCTTCTGCTGTCAAGTGTTAATCCCTTTGTTAGCTACTCAGCTGCACATTCATTTAGGAGGGCTAATGACTTACACTGTTCCTTCTCTGCGTGATTTCAGCAGACGTGTAATTAGAGGTGAATGGCAGCTTCAGAGGTATGGCTACCACTGGGGCCGGGGGCAAAGTCAGAGTGTTTGTCTGATCTCACCATGGGCTGTTCCAGTGAGTGAAACCATGTGGGCAGCTGCACACGGGGAGAAGGAAGTAGGAGAGGATAAGAGTCAGCATTGGGCATCTGGGGAGCTCGGATGTGGAAAGGAACGTGTTTCCAAATATTTTTTTGTTGGGGTGTCAGACTGTGAGGTAAATGCCAGCAAGAAGCCTGTTGTATTTTGAAGGTGAGCTGAGGAACTGCTCATGTGCCTCAACAGTGCCTTACAGACTACGCCTTTTTTTTGTTTTTTTTTTCTAAATGAAAGCCGTCAATGTCTGCAACACCTCAAGAAATATCCTGCAGCTCTTACACCATGCAAAGATGTCCTTTTGAAGTCCAAGTGAATCCTTGTGTATGTATTAACATCACAGGATGGAGCAGAAAAGTATAACAGGGAGCTGAGGTCCTGACGGATCCGAGATAACAAAAAATCCACCAGGAACCCCAAACCCCTTAGCTCTGGTTTCTATGCATAGACCAAGCACAGACAGCCTCACTGAGCTGCGGCGTTGCTCCCTGTCCTTGCAGCTTTTGGGCTGAGCTGGATCCCAGCAATGTGCAGTGCTGCTGCTTTTGGTGCTGCAGCATGGCATCCCCAAGGCAGTGGGCTTCTGCTCCTTCCCAGCTGAAGCACAGCATCTTACATGTCCCACAGCTGCATACTCTTTCCTGCTTTCCCTTTTTTTCCTTTTTTTTTTTTCTTTTTGAAAGCTTTTCCTGGGTTTTGCTCAGCCCTGGTTCCTCCCAGCAGTGTGCCTGCAGTCCCTTCTCTTGTCTGTTCTGGAGTGCAGTGTCTCTTTCCTTCACACCCCTTGTGCAGATGCACATCAGTGGCTGATACCACAATTGTGTTAAAGAACTCCAACTTCCATTCTCTTGGTTGGTTAGGAGCTAAGCAGAGTGCTAGTTTTATGAATTGAGATAACACACCTGCACCAGTGCTTTGAATTCAGGGGTGTAATTTCATTAAAAATGACAAAACAGAATAAATCAATAACTAATTAAAAATGGCTTCAATTCAGTCTGGGCTTATGATCTAATATCTCACACAGTTGTCTAATACAATTATAAACATAATTTCATGGTTAATGAAATATAAATGAAGCAAAAAGAATGGCAAGCTCCAAAGAAACTTCTCCATCAGTTGCCTTTGTGGCCCCTCCACCCTGCCTGCATCTCTGTCCCATCTGTTAGGAAGTAAGTCCATTGGTGGATAGCCATCACAATACAAACTGGAGTCTTACCACTCATACAAAGCCTTATTATTTTTCTGGTCTTTCTTCCCCCTTGAAGCACTGAAGAGCAACTCGAGCAGCCTCAGAGGAGATGATACACACTGGGTTTCCATCTCCCCATCCATGCAGACGTGTCGCCGTCGTTGCTGTGCAGCCAGCAGGGACAGGACGTGGTGTGTCTGACAGCCTTGGGGATGAGGATATCCAATTCTGAGTGACTTGTGATCTGCTGGTAAGCAAGCACAGTAAATGAACATTTCTGGCATTTCTTTATTTCATCACCTTTTTCACTAATAGTGCTATTCTCCTGTTGAGCTGTGACAGTGATCTCTCTCCATTTGACTAGCTGCCTAGTGGTGCTCAGTGGTGTCCTTCTGAAAAAGCCTTGCGTGCAATTACACACCTCACAGCTACATACAGGTAGATCCAGGTGAAACGCTGGCACCGTTTCTCACTATTTTCTCATGTATGTATTTCAGTGGTGCCCATCCTCACTGCATGCCTCCAGCATGGGAGGGAGAGGGTGAAATCAATCCCATTTGATTGGAGCTGCAATGATTGTCACGAGAAAACAAACCCACTAAAGGAAGTGAAGCTTCCTGTAGCCTGGGTCTGTACAGTGAGCAAATATATATTGTTTTGTTGTGGTTTGGATATAATTGGATTGAAGTCTGTTGGAAACTTAGCCCAGACTCAGTGAAAGGTTCACACAACCTTAGACCAGGCAGCTTTGCGTGGCTCAGGTTTAATTATGAATGGTTCGCTCAGCCTCAGTAATGACTCATATTCGCTAACTATCCCTTCTATGAGATGTGACAAAAGTGTATTTCAGAGATGTGAAGCATAATTATTTAATGATGAAGTAAAGTTGATTAGGAAGCCTTTAAGCTATTAGGCTCTTGGTAGGATATTTTGCAGTCAGTGAATAAATGAACATAATTTAATTCTTAAAAGCTCTACAGCTCCTGCTGGCTCTGAAAATGATATGTAGCTAACAAGTTAGGGTTTTTCCCATTATAGAATTCTATATGCTACAACAAAGAGCATACAGAATTCAATGCAGTGCTGGGGAAAACTATTCTTAGTGACTGTGCAGGCTAAAAATGATAGAACTTACATATCCAGTAACAATCATGAACCTGACAAATCAAGCTTGTAAGCCTGTGGTGTGATCTGAAAACCTAACAAGTTTCCAAGAAGGATCTCTGGTTTAAAAATACTTTTTGGATTCTCGTGTTTTTTCTTTCTTTTTTAATTCTTCATGAGATGTGCAAGACAGAACAGCATGAGACCAGCAGGCAAATGGCTGTGCCATCGAAGGAGTGTATTTATATATGATGTAGCTGCGTTCCAATTATGAAATTGATCCCTGGATAGAAATCCCTTAAGGGTGGCTATTAATGAGATTGCCTGCTCTGCGTGCATCCAGTAATAAGATTAGGTATGCATTTATCCTGAGCAGAGATAAACCAGCAACAAGTTTGTGCCAAGATAAGACAGTTCTGAAAGGCAATTAAACATGGGACATAATGTGCGTGCATCTGTCTGTGGGAGGTTGCGGGATGGAAAGGCTCAGTTTTCATCTGCAGAAGTGCTTCTGAGTGTAACAGGTAGGGAAACAGGCTTTTCACAGTGGTGAGATTAAATCTGAGCTTAAATATCAAAATATTTGAGTTTAGAATGCACTAGTCAGTTTGATGAAATGTGCAGATTGGCCTTTTTGGCTTCTCTTTTAATGAGAGAATATTTTGTAAAATCCAATGCCTCAAACATACCAGCACTTCAGTCTGAAAATCAGGCTATGAAGTTCTGTAGGAAATTCTTTTTCTACTTTTTTTTTAAAAGATGAGAACTTCATTTTCAATGGTAGTGTCAAATGTGCAACTTTAAGTTATTTTAGAAATGTGGATATTTGACACTTTGCCTAGGTATGCTTGAGGTGAAGAAACAGGCTTTGCCCATGCATTCACTGGTGGTAAGGCTGTAGGGTTTTTAAAATACCCACAAAATCAGTATTCTGTCCACTACGTGGTGAGTGTAAGCTGTATGTAGGAAACGTGGCTGGGAACTCTAGAATGTCGCTGCGTAATTCTAAGAGCCTTCTGGTTGCCAAAAACATATGGTCTCTATTAATAAGGGTATTTAGCATTTTTCTTCCTAATTTATTCACAGGTAATTATTTGCTTACCTAGCTCGAATTGGGCCAGAATCCAGCTCTTATCTGTTGTGGAAAGATGTCACATTTCCCTCTGCCTTTCGCCAGCCCTCACTTGAGAGCAGCAATGCATCTGGCCAAGCAAAGCTGCTCTGCTCCTTCTCACTTGAAATAACAGTCTTGCCTGGCCATTAAAAACTTTAGTTTCTAGAAGTATTGTGGAAAAGTACTTCTCAGAGTACTGTGGCACTCAGTAATTCAGTAAGAAATAACAGATTCAGCTGCTCCTCCTGTTGGCTGCCTGCTCCCTGCCGGGACAGCTGGCTCTTCCCAGGTCTGTTTCCGTGTCACTGCAGTGCCAGAACATCACCTAACCAACGAACATCACCTAACCAACACTTCAGAGTCTCTGTTTTGTCTCACTTCTTGTGGTGCTGCATTCAAATGTTAAAGAAAATGTAAAGAAAATAAACACCTCCCTCAAAAAATCTCATCAAAGATTTACTGATCGGACTCCAGAGCCTGGGCTCTGAGAGCTCTGATGCTTTTCTTTCTATGTGTATCCTTCTTTCACTGCCCCCCTCCAGTAATCAGAATCCCAAAGTGTGTTCTTTCTGATGAGGATTAAGCCATGACCTGCACATGATTGCAGGAAATAAGCCTTTAAAATATGCCCAAATGCACTGCTTGTTTGAAGTCACTGATCCTTAAAATAGATGTCTGAAAAAATGTGTAATTTCAAATGCTTCTGCAGATATTGTTCCAGTATGTGTAACAAGGGGTCACATCAAGCCAAGTTACATCAGTTGTGCTCCATTATATCACGAACTGAGCCAAATGAATCAAAATATACAGTAATACTTCAGCTGATAACGAAAGCTTTATACAGTTTCTTTCCCTAGATACTTTTTAGGAAGCATTAAAATATTCAGCATGATTTGAGGGGGTGGTTATTTTAGCTATTTGCCAAAAATCTTTTCACTGTGCAGAGTATTTTAATGTCACTGATGATTGGGCAGCCCAGCAGGATGATCTCCTCAGCCACAAGTGGTCTGATGGCACAGCTTACCTTGGATGGACCATTTCTTCCCCCAAGCTCCCCCCTTGTCTGTGTGCTCTCCATCATTTCTGTGCAGTGGCAGCCTTTGTCAGAAAAGATCACAGTGGGGTTGGGAGCTGGTACACCACTGATGAATTCAACTTAAATTAGGAGTTGCTGTTGTCTTGTTTTTTGGCACCTTCTGCTTTGTTCCTAGCCTGGGGCATCTGAGCTTCAGATGCTTTTACAAGCAAGATGTGCAGTTGACTCTAAGCTTCTGTTTCCCAAGTAGGTTTAACTATCACAACTGTGTAGACCAAGAAGAGGCTGAACCAGCACAGATACACAGAGCAGAGCGGCTCAGTCATAAGAGGTTCTGGGAAGCTCCAGAAGCTTGGGAGAAGCAGAGACACTTCTTGTGAAAACTGAATTTCCACTTGTTGTGACCTTTTTACTCAGAGATGGTGAGAAAATACTTGATTTTTTGTTTTTCTTTTTTTCAGGGACCTTATGAGATATTGGTGGTGACGTGCTATCATTGAAACCTCTGCAAGAAGCTGATGCTTCAGGAATCCTAAGGTACTCACTGTCATTGCTAGGTCCTGTTCCTCTCCCTGGTGAAGCTGTTTTACTGTCATTTAATTGGTAGACAGTAGTAGAACAGTACTGTTCCCTCCTCATTAGTCTCTCAAGGCAAAACATAATTTGGTCCTACTTAATATTAATTTAATCTTAACAAAATCAAGATAGGTTCAGAAGTTTCACCTTTACTGAGGCTCTCAGCTCTCTTACGTCTGTGTGCATACAAACCCCATAAGAAAAACATTTCAGGCTTTTCCACAGCGATGATTAAAGAAAAATCACAAATGCAATGGGCTTCAAAGCAAAGGGCAATGGCCCAGCCTTCGCTCAGTCAGTGTGCACAAAATGGAAGGGCACGTTACTGTAGAGGGGAGAGGAGCAGAGCTATGCCACAGGTGGGTTTTGTATTTGATATCATCTACTGACAGTGACAGGTCACAGCCTTGCCACAGCTGTGAAGTCTGTTGAGGGCCACCTCAGAGCCTCCCAGCAGCAGTTCAAATGCTGCATGGTACTTATTTGCATGCAATTTGAATCTACCCCAATAGCCTGCACTGCTGACAGATAGGAGGAAAGGATTCACTGCCCGCACGGAGCCAGCACCGACAGGCCGGGAGGTGAAAACTCAAGAGCTTCACTTAAGACAGCTAAAGCCCCCATTGCTGCACACTGTGGTTCATGCACAGGCACAGAGAAATAAATCTTGGTTAAATTTTTGATGAGCTTTCAGCTGCTGTAAATAATTAACTAGGGGCTCTCTAGTTTGAACACGGGTGCAACTTTTCATGTTTCAAACGCTTCCTGCCTCGATCCCAAGGGGATTGCTCAAGTTATTCAGGTCACTTCTTTTATTTATTTATTTGTAGCATCACCAGTCGAAACAAATGTTTGAACTTGCAAGCTGGGAAGGGAGAAAGCAGTTTCCTTTTGATCTTACTCCAGGTAAATCTCCAAGGGAGCACGTGTCTCGTTTGCAGTAGTTGAATAATAGAGATTGATAGGTTAATCAGTTCCAATACCATTCATGGAGTAATACTGTGTGCTCGTAGCTGAAGTTTTGATGTTTCTCAAGTCCATGCTGTTTCAAAGATGATAGTGCAGGATAACACAGGACAGCTTCTTAAAGACAGATGCATTAACGAGGGCACCCCTGTATCCCCTCAGCTAAAGCACAGCCTGCTGATCCTGCTTTTGATGTGCTGAAGTATGACAGCACAAGTACTGAAGTCACTCCTGCATCACCGCCAGGTAGCAGCACAGAAAATGAGGTCTTAAGAACAATCGATTTGTCCCTTCTTAGGTGACAAAAAGAGCTTGGATGTTGTTTTAGGTGGAAACTGGGCTATCTTGTGCACGTATCAACTGGGCGTAAAATGTATTAAATACTGGATTCAGGCTCCTAATTAGGGGCTTTGATGTCCTATGATAAGACTTTAATGTGAAGATTGGACTACTGAAATAGTTCCTTCCTAATGACTTCATCCTACGACTGTCCAGCTTGGTTGTTCTATATCCACACACAGCAGGTCACCTACCACGCTGTGGTCTGAGGCTGGGCATTGTCATACTTCCTATTTCATTGCCTATTGAGCATGATTTATTACATTGACAGGCCATACTACTGTTTGCAATGCAGGCCTAATTCGTTCCCACATTTTAATACAGTTCCTCACATAATCTCCAGCACTTGAGGAAATATATTTATTATGTGCATATTACAGAATAATTTAAAATCAGCTTTTGGGTCTATCTTTTTTAATTTCTATTTTATCAACTGTTTTTGACTAGCAGTTTAAATAATTGTTTGCCTAATATCTGGAAATGTAATTGCTTTTAGACATCCTTTATTCCAATGCTGGTGTCATTTTTGCAAACTGCTCATGTTGGCACCTGTCTGTGCAGTGACAGATTTGTGATGACAGCTTGCATAACTTATTTATAAAATGATGAATTATTTTGGAATTTAACTTCAAGTTCACAGACTGGAAAAGTGGAGAAACACCTGCTTCTTGCAGAGGACCTGCTAAGGAAGTCCAAAGGAAACTGCATACGGGGGAAGCACATGCCAAGTGAAACAGAACCCTGTGGGTCACTGTAATGCTGGTCCAGGTTTCAGCGAGCACTCCATGGATGCAGTGTTAAGAATCTCTGCTGCTGGGGCCACAGAGTGTGAGGAAAGTTCCAAAGACTGCAGTCCACTGGGCTCTTGGGGTTTTACTGAACAGTGGGGATAAGTGGTCTCCTCCCAGGGTCAGATCACACCAGGAGCCAAGGGGAAGTGAAGGGAGAAAGGGGGCCTTCTATTTCTCCAAATACCTTCCAATTGCACAACTGATTGATTATAAGTATAGTCTAAAATGGAGGGTAATGCTAAAGAGATATTAACAGCTAGGAAATGAACAAACTGACAGTTTATGTCACACAGGTGATAGTTCCTGTTTCTTACTGAATGCTTTCAATAAAGCACAGGCAGAGAGAAACGATGCTGGACCATCTTAATTCAAAAGAGGAAAGACACAGACAGTCCTATTGTCAGAGCCTTCATTCAAGTCCATTGAAGGAGCTGGAAGCATCACCGAAGACAGAAGGTAGTAAAAATGGGAGGCAAGGGGCAAGGGAAGGGCCCTATTGAGTACTTCCCAAATGACCAGAATCATATTGTCTTTGTGTTCCAGGACTTCAAGGATTACCTGCCTCTTTCCTCACCAGTTGCTATAAAGAAAAAGTCTACGTTCTCAAATGGTTACTTGTCTGCTATTAGACCCTGCTCAACGGTCACATTTCCCACAACTTTATTTCAGAGAGTCCTGTACTGACCGTGTTCACCCCTCCCAGTATTTCTTCCACACACTCTGGGTTGTTTATCCATACTTGCATGCAAATATCCCATCTAATTTTGTTCTTTCAAAATGCCGTTTAAATACAGCTTTTCAGTGAAACAGCCTGTTTCAATTTATCTTAGTTGAAAGTAGGGCTATAAATCTCTTCGGTTTATTTTATTGATCTCAGACAAAATTACAAATATAAATTACAGCTGCTGCAAATTAAATGTTCTAATGACTGAAACAAAGACACAGCAGACACCAGCCACTGCCTGCTCTCTGTGCAAACCCTCAGCCACCGTGCTCTCCACCTGCAGGCAGCTTAATATACCCACCATGAAAGCTCAGTGAGAAACACTGCACTTCAAGTGGCAATATATGCTCTGTATGGCCCATGCTGAAATACAGAAATCTATCAGTGGTTTTACTGTCCCAGCAGTTATCCTCATTCTCAATCTCACTACAAACATTGGCCACGGGGTCACGCTCCACAAGGCAAATATCAGGTGTTGCTGCTCCAGGTAGCACACGTTTCCTATGACGGAGCTCCCATTTCACAAGGCAGCATAATCATCAGTTTTCTACTCTGCTGACACTCAGACCCTTATGCACAAAGGTTTCTGTTTACCAGGTCATAAAATTGCAAGTATAATAGCAGTGACTTTGCTGCACTTGATAAAACCGTAAAACATTTCATTTCGCTGCCTACTGAGCTTTAAAAAAAAAAAATGACATTGGAAAGGAGACAACATTCTTGTTACCATCAAAGTATTTCAAAATATCTACTTTTCTGCTTGTGATCTGTGGACGTATGTTTTTCCTTCGCTCCACTTTTGCTACTATTTTTAGACATGAGCTGAAAAATCCAGAAAAAAGAAAAGATTACTTTTATTCTTGCTTAAGTTATGATCACAAAGCCTCTGAATATATTTATATCTGTATGTAGTAGAAGTATTCACATTCCTACAAATTCTACAAAAGAGGAACCCTGGCAACTAGACAAACTCTGCATTTAATGCACGCTCAAAAAAAACAACCTAACAAAAAACAACCACAAGACACGTGGAAAATGCCACGATTGTCTCTCTGGCCCATGGAACTGATTTGCTCCTAAGCCAGATTCAGATGGACCTAACAGACCCTCCCAACTTGCAAGCTGCCCATAGATGGCCCTTCTGTGCTCGCAGCACGCAGAACACCTTGACTTTGTCTGCCCTCATCATCCAAGCCAAGAAGAAAAAGCAGTAAGATTCAGAAAAAATATCTTCTTCCCTGATATCAGTCAAGCTGCAGTTAAAGAGAGACCTCCAGAGATAACTGGTACCCATGGCATCTCTGTGCTTTTTGAAGTCAGATGTTTTCTTGAAAGACGAGCATTCAGTCAAGTTCTCCAAATCCTTGCTTTTTTAATGGAGAAATTAATGGGAACCTCACTCTTATTCCCAATCTGATAGCAGTACAGCAGTAGAACAGGGTTCCTCTGGGTGGGCATGGTTGGCCTCTGCTCTGGGAACAGTGTTTATGTAAACTGCCATCTGACATTCTGTTTTATCCTCCACTGTACATCAGTTTCTGTAATTTCATTCATGATTTACTTTGACCTTTAGCTGTGTTTGATATTTTCTGGTACAAAAGCTTGACACTTAATAAAGGAAATTTCAAGAAAACACCAGCCAGCAAGCTAAATATCTACACAGGAAAAGCAGATTTCGTAGTGAAGTGAAAAAACAAGAAGATTGTCTTGCTGTCAGCTTAGAAAGACCTCCACAAATTCAAATGGTCAAAAGAGGGATCTCCTCCTGCCTTGACACCACAGTTTTACATGTGTTTCTTTTCCAAATACCCAGCTCCTTTATTCAGCTCCTCTGGGTAATCTCATTCAATGTATTTCCCTTTGAGATTTTCCTCCCCACCGTGTGTCAGCCCAGCCTACACCCAGCTATGCAGTTAGGCACGCAGCAACTGCAGAGAGCACCCTGCACACAGATATTCTGCAGAAATCTGCTGGATGCAACATTTCAACTCAGAGTAGTACCAGCATCCAACAGAACATCTTGGAACTTCGGTGTTAAATGGCAAAGAGGCAGCAAAGAGGTTAAATACCTTTCCTGTGCCTACAAGTCACAAGGCTTGAAATGCTTGCCTGTTGAACTGTAACTTGGTAGCACGAGGTTCTGGGCAATAGCAGACCAGTCCATCAGCAGATCCAGCCCCTCTTCTGCAGTCATTTGCAGAAAAGAGAAAGCTTTTGCATTCAAAACTCCCATGGAGCTTTGTGGGCAAAAGAAACATGAAAATCTCTTTGATCATGCTTAAATATTTCAGAGAGGTGATCTGGCTTTGGAAGTTTAATTACCTTAAGCCATGAGAGGACAGAGAACGAGGGCAATGACAAAGAGAAAGAAAAGAAGAAATGAACTTTTTTCAGGACAAAGGGATGTTACTATTTATGAACCTGCAAGAGAATTAGAGCTGAAATACTTAGGAAAAAAAAAAAAAAAAGAGAGAGATTTTAATTAATGATGGTAATTCTTATGAAAAGAACCAGATTGCCAGCTCTGAAAACTGCCAATTCTTTTTATCCACAATGTATATACAACCTTAGGCTTTGCCCCGGTATGGGACATTGCCCTGAGCTGAGAAGCCCAACATCTCAGTGGTCACAAGCTTTGGCTTTTGCTGCAGCTGAGCTTTGCAAAGTGGGTAGTTATGCACTACGTCAGTTCCACGATACAATCAAGTCCTTTGACATGGGCAATTTGTCCCTAATGACTTGAGTCAGCCTATAAAGGTTACCAAGAATCAAATCCTACTGAAGTAAATGTAGAGAACCACAGGTCACATTCAAGGACCAAACCTGAGGAAGTCCTGGTAAATGGATTACCAGGACCTTCTAATACCTAGGGAAACTCTCTTTTAAAAATAAACTGAAAATAAATATACAGAAAAATGTAATTCCTCCATACACACATGTAACAATTGATCTCATTCAGATCAAGTCATTTTAGTTACTTTCCTATTATCCAGTTTAAAGAGCATCCCTTATCCCAGTCCTGAGGAGCACCATAGCTGTGGGGGCCATGAGGCACACACAGTATTTTGCAAAGCACCAGCTGCAGAATTTGTTCCTGAGTTAGAAGAGAGGGGGAGGGCTTGTTTTTTTAGTTGTTAATACATTCTGGAATAATGAGGTGTTAGCAGAAGCCTTTCACCATCTCCTCGACATCCTGTTCCCCACCCCTCTGCAGCTGGATGGGAACTCCACCTCCCAGAAGCTGTAGCAGACAGACAGGGGTACAAATCCCCTGGTAGAAGGAAATGCAATCTGACTGATCCCTGAAAATTTAATTTCTAGTTCCCAGTGGCTAACAAATGCAGGTAGCTCAAGCTAAACCAGGAGGGAACCACAGCAGCTTTCTTACGGGATGGAAAAGCAATGATCTTTACTACCAGAGACTGATATTACATAGATTAAGTCAAATGTATCAACTTCACTTTAACATGAGTGTTTCTATTACCTGGGTCAGAGAGTCTGTGCAGTCACTCTCCAGAACCTGCTGTTATTAATTCAGCAATTATAGTTTTATGGTGGCAGGGATTCCTTGGTGTTTGAGCTGGCACTGGAAAGCTGTAATTCTGAATGGAACATGACATGAATTACTGGATTGCTGTAATTCTTCAGCTTTTCATGCATTTTCGCTGCATATATTAAAATACAGCAAGCAATTCGCTTTTAATTATGCAAATTCAAAGTAAGACAAGAGATGGATAAGTTTTTAAATGTCTGCTCTGCCTGACCACCTGGGGTTAGCACAGAAATCCATGGGCTGATCAGCTCACCCGCGCTCCTGCTCGCCTGGCTGTACACAACACCACCTCCTTTCAGTATTCAGCAGTATTTCCAGAGCAAAGAGTGCAGGAAAGAAATTGCAGAGAGGGGGAGAGCTGGGAAAAGGCAGATCCTGTCCACCTGCCTCCCTGACTTCTCTGGGTTTCCAAACAAACGATACATCGCTGTGCTGACATCAACACAAGACCTCAAGGGCTGCAGATATTTGGTAATTGCAGATATTATTTGGCAGTATCTTCCCAATATTGAGATGTTACTAATAACGTAACCAGAATATATGAATCGGGGTCACGATTCCACAGCTCCGTTCGTGGCTTCTTTGCTGCTCCTTATCAAAGCCCCTGGCTGCAACCAGCTTTTAGACATGCACGAGTCTGTGCAGTTATTGTAAAGGAGAAACAAGTTACACCGCTCTCAAAGACATTGTTTTTAAATCGTAAGATTCCAAGCGCAAGTAATGATGGCTTGTTAAAAGTCTAGTGACTGTATCTAATAGCTGCAGTGTTCAGTGCTGTAATTACAGAGGCAAAAGATTGCTGAGAATGTGTAAAAAAGGAAATAATTGGGGTAGCAGCAATGCAAAAGCTGCTCTGGGCCTAAAGCAACTGTTATTTTGCCCTCCTACTGATGTGCTACTTAACGAAGATACAATTGTTGGAAACGAGCTCTCTTTGATGTTAAGTTTCGGTATTTTCTGTTTAGGAGCCCTGAGGCTTCACCCCCAGTACCTCCAAGCTCAGGACACAGGTAAAATTACCCAAACACTGCCTTGTCCTGCGAGAATACATCTGCCTCTCCTCCCTAGAAGCCTGGGAGAACTTTCAAGCAAGCAAATTAGCAATGCAAACCTCCAGCAACCTCTCCAAGGAGGGAGCACTGCTGTGCTCTGTTCTTCACGTTAATATTTCCAATCCTGGTAGACAATTCCTATTTTCTCTAATCTCTTCATCCTCTTTTCCCCACCTAGGGATGTTTCTTTGCTCATCTCACTCTTGCTTCTCTAAAGGTGGTTTCTTGCAGCTTTGTCAGCAGCTGTTCTGTCTGCAGGAGTCTTTTGCTGCTTTCCTGTGTGCCTATTGCATAACTGCAAAAGAACACCATCTTCCTGAAGCAGAGCAAATAGATGGAGTGGTTTTCCATCATGCCCTTGACACTGCTGTTATCCAAGCTTCACCTGAATACAATATCTGCCCCGAAACCCTGGAATTCAGCCTTATCCCCAAGCTTTTTGAACTTCTCTGTTCTGGCATACCTATTGATTACATCTTCTATAGATCTAGCCAGAAGTGAACCTTACCTTCACCCTAAAGTTCCTGCAGAAACCTTACTCGTTTGTTAGTCACCTGCTTTTCTGGATCACTACAGGTTTTTTTCTAAAAATCACATCAAATTTTACCT